GTACCCCATAACTAGCTTTAGGTATAATGTTTTTAAAATGTCACGATTTCCAGTAGGTTATTCCTATCATATTAGCATACGTGGTGAACTCCTAAATCTGGTTTCGATACTCCTGAAAGTCCAATTATATCGACTCCCATGGCAGCACCAGGAAGTTGTTGAACAGTGGTTGTGCAAATTACACCATCATTTAAGTTTGCGGATTAGGTAACCTTTAAAGTATGACGTCCACATTTATTTTATTTTTATTGTCTTATTCGTGTCAAGGCTGTGATAAAAATACTCTAAAAGTTTCAACTACATTCCAGTTTGTTTTCCAGGATGCGTGAATGCACTATATTGCGAATACACTGTCTCAGGTACATAACTGGTTTAAACTTAGCTAGTTTTTATTAAGCAAAACCAAATTTGTCAAATTCTCTTTACCGAATATAAAACAAACCGAAATGGGGGATATAGTGCTCAATGGTAAAAAACTAAATTTAGTGGAGACAACCGTTTTTCTAGGCATAACCCTAGACAACAAACTTCAATGAAACCCTCACATTACAGCACCAGCGGGAAAACTTAGTTATGCTGCTTATGCCATCTATAAAATATGACAGCGTACTGATGTCGACACTGCTAGGGCAGTAGTAGTTTAGCGACTTTCATTGATTTATATCGTATGGAATTCTATTGTGTGGCACGGCGGCTCACATTGAGACGATTTTTATTCTTCAAAAACGAGCTATAAGAGTTATTTATCATTTGGGATCGCGAACTTCTCTTCCGGATAAATTTAAAGAATTAGGTATATTGACTGTTGCTTCACAATACATTTAAAATTCATTCAATACAATTCTTGGTCCATAATACTGTTCATGGGATACAGCTCGCTGAAAGAGGGACAGAACCACAAACAGATAGATAACGCAAGTGTATTTACTTCGCGTACCAAAAACAGCAGCAACAGCTGTTTTTGAATTGTCCCAATAGTTTTATTTAATTTATTTCATAAATCTTATTAATTGTGCTCTTAAACCATAATATCATTAAATAATGATTAATAACTAAGTGTTAATATATAAAAACGATTGTAAAGTGAGTGAAATTACTTAAAAACGTACTGTGACATTTACCGGCTTTATTGTGAGTCATTGTCATCTGTTTCCAAGATATTTTCATAATTCCAGTAAGTTATTTTTACAAGTTACCTTGACAATTACTTTATTCTATATCAATAAAGTGTGTAAAGCATCAAATAGTTAAAAACTGGCAATTTTTTTTTTATAAAATACCTACATAACCTTGCTATTGTTGGTTAAATAAGTCCTGTTGTATTTAACAACATACATTCATTCAAGTTAAACTAAGATAATATCGTTAATATATAAATATGATGACTCGTAAGGCTCTGTCTCGTCAGGAGGAGTCTAAATTTCAACTGACTTTGAGAGAACTCAAAGCCTCTAAGGATTTATGCGACCAACTACACAAGGAACGGGATGACAATGAGAGGGAATTAATAGAAATTTTAGATAAAAATCAAAAGTTAAAGAGCGAAATGGCAGAACTGCACAAACAGTGTATTGATACTATTGAAGCTCGGGACAGGCTCCAGTTCATCGTAGATGGCTTTGATCAATGTAGAAGTGAATATGACCAAGCATTACAGCGTATTCACATCTTGGAAAAGCAACTACATGACGCAAAAAACACAATATCACTATTAGAAATGTCAAAACACAATAAAACTGTCTCGTTGAATCGGAGCTTGTTTGATGAGTTGGTAGTCAGTGCGCCAGAGATGGTTTCTGTGCCAACCAATAACCAACCAATTGTTACAATAGATCTTACTTGTAATGACAGTAGAAATAACAAATTGGGGGTTGTTGGATGTAACAAATTGAAGAAATATGTAAAAATTAATAGATATATTAAAAAAACTCAAAAGTTAATTAAAAAACAAAAGTTATTTATAAAAAATGTTAATATCAACAGGGAGAGATTACAGTTAATTGATGAATTGGACATTTATTCTGCAAAATATAATAACATTAGTTTAAAATATGAAACAGACACTCAAATTTTACAAAGTAAAATAGATAAACTACAAGATTGTCTCTCAAATGTAACCAAAAAATATGAATTAGCACAATGTGAAATGAAGGAACATTACAATAATGAAAGATTTCATTCATTAACAAACAATCACACTTGTGATTGTAAACAGTTGGGAACTCAATCATCGCTCAATTTTGACTCCTACACTTTACAACATAAGTCTATATCTATTGATTCCCAACTTCAGCCAATAGGTACTCACTTGACACCGGTGAAAGTAACTCACTCAAGAAACACATCTTTAGAAAATAAAAATAACAAGATTGTAATGTTTAGTGATGAAATTGGAAAGAATATGGGCCCTCTTTTATCTAAAATGGGACATTCAATAACAAATAACTGTATGCCTGGTACCTCTTATAAGGATATTTTAGAAAAGGCAAGTAAGCATAGCTACAGCAAATGTCACACCTTGTTATTTTTTGTAGGAAACAGAGGCAATTTGAACAAAAAAATATTATTAAAATATATAACAGATTTAAATACATTAAATGTGGAAAAAATTGTATTGTTCACATTGCCTTACTGCAACAGTCTGCCAAAAGAGGAAAATTTGTTAAGATATAAATTAAATATGCTTTTGTACACAATTTGTAAAAGCAAAAAATACCATTTGATTGACTCTAACAATTATGTTAGAAATTTTTATTTGACAAAAGATAAATATTATCTTTCTAATTATAATAAAAGACAGGTAGCTAAATCGCTATCATATTTCTTTTTTATGTCAGCCAAGAATTTGGCTAAACAACTTGCTCCTATTGAGCAACCTTCTAATGACATGACAATCAGTAATTATTCTACTGAAACCACTCAAAATAATAATAAATGTTTAAATTAAGCAATCAGACAAAAGATAATTCGTCTTGCATATTGTTAAATAATAATGTAAATAAAAAATACAATTTTGTTAATATAGATAACAAAAACCCATCCAAAAACATTGCAAAAAATGTAAGTTTTATCAACCTGGTGCATCTTAATATTCAAGGAATGATGGGTAAGGACTTAGAAATTGAATTATTTATGAATTGTAATAATATAGATATTTTTTGTATTACAGAGCACTGGCTAAAAAGTTATCAAAATATATTTAATTTTAATAATCATCAGGTTGGTAGTTCGTTCAATCGAGAAAATGCAATTCGAGGTGGCTCTTTAATATTATTGAATAAAAAACTAAAATTTAAGGAACGAAGAGATATTGTGAGCCTCTCGGTTGAGCGAACAATAGAAATTGCCTGTGTGGAACTGGACCAGCTTGTTGTATTGAGTGTATACAGACCTCCATCAGCATTGTATGATTGTTTTGAAGTTATCATGGATGAAGCTCTTAAAAAAACTTACACTACAGGCAAACGGTTGATTGTCTGTGGTGACTTTAATATTGATTTATTAGAAAAATCTAGTTCATGTACTAAAATAAAAAAATTATTTCAATCATACAATCTGAAAAACTTATTCATTGAGCCTACTAGAATAGCTGCCACTTCGGCCACTTGTATTGATAATATATATACAGATATTATACCACAGAAAAAACAAATTATTAATAAACTAGATAGTGATCATTGTGGCCAGTTGATTACATTTCCGTATCAGCTCAAGCAGGTGAAGAAAAAACACATCACTGTTATACCAAAAACTGCTAATCGTGTGGAACGTTTTAAAAATCAATTAGATAGAAAATTGTGTTATCTTAAATATAAAGACAGTCCACATGATTTATATAATGATTTTTTTAATATATATTGCGATGAATTTAATAATGTTTTTGTACCCAAAAAAATATGTGTTAATGATGCGGTAAATTTTAGTAAGTGGGCTACGCCTGGAATTCATAAAAGTAGAAGAACACTTTATGAACTTTATAATGAACGAAACTCTAACACTAGTGAAAAATTTAAAGAGCATGTTCGTAACTATTCCAAATTGTTTAAAAAAGTATGCCGCTTAGCAAAATCAAATTACTTAAGTTCAAAGATTAAGAAAAAATAGATGTCACTAAAATGAAGATATTTGCGGCTACTTTTCTTAGGTAACCCATGTAGTTCAGTCAATGAAGGTTTTCACCTCCGATTTCGTTGAACCTCCATCGATTTTCATGAAAATTGGTGAGTAGGTGGGGGATACATAGTGCCAACTTGCACTATTGCCCTGGGGGTAGATAACACCCCCTCTGGGGGGTGAAAATTATTTTAATAAAAAGAACTCCTAAAATCGATACAGAAACAAATTCTAAGCAAAATTTGTTATATAAGGTTTATGTTAATCAATACTTTCTGAGTTATTAAAGATCAAAGATTGTGATTTTTCGTGATAAAATACATGTTTTAAAGCGGTTTTTCATAAATAACTCAAAAACTATGAGTTATTACAAAAAATGTTAAAAAAAACAAACAAACTAAGTGACTGTGAAAAAAAAAATTAGCAAACCACTTCCGTCACTACCTGTGGGACATAGTTTTAAGTTGTGACAGATCATAGGGCTCTATGTTGGTTGAAAGAACGAAGATACATGAACGGCACATTAGCCAGGTGGGCTTTAGCTATTCAACTCCATGAATTCGACATAAATAGTTCATTTTGTTCCGTAAAGGAAAACGTCATTACCGACTTCCTTAGCAGGAACTCTTTTAGTTCGAATATTACTCTACTTTTTATTATGGAATTCTTTTGAATGACAGCCATTGGTACTAAACAAGCAAAAAGGATGGTAGTGCTGAGGGTGTTACATTACTTATTATTATTTCAGATCATTGGGTCTAAAATAGAGACGTGAAGAAGCAACTTGCAGGCCGCCAAGGTAAAGATAGCTTGTGTGGTAAATAAAATTGCTATACCAGTTTAACTGGACTCCAACAACATTTTAATAAAGGGTATAACCCTTTATTGAAGGAGAGAACACGTGTGAGGGCAAAAAATTACAAGCTTTTAAATTAAATTAGGTAACCTTCTTTTTAGTAGAAAAGGATTTATTCATCATAAAAAAGGTATATTATCGCCCCAGTTTCAAACTATACAGGGGTCAGTGATTTGAATCCGTCCATCTACATCGATGAACACTGGCGACTGACGCGCAAAATAGTCCATAACCACTTCGTAGTCTAATCCGATGTCTGTGACGTTTCTCCTGTTATTTGATATCATCTGAAAACATAAATAAATAAATCTATTATAAGCACAATTTCAAATCGTTTCGAGCATTTGTTTGTTATACTATTATTGCAAATTCATTCGTTAAAAGACGCCGTTAAATGAAAATGGTAAAAATTGTTTTTAATAATGTCCTTAAGGCAGTTGTCCTACCGGCGGCGAGGAAGCGATAATTATCACCTATTTTCTCGCTCAAGAAACGGTCAATAGACATACACAGCGGTGCATATATTATTAGTTGATCGCTGTTTACACTGCCAGTGAAAACTGGCTCTACTAATTTGATGCTGAGCGAGAAGAGCTTATTCTCACAGTGAAACCTGGTTCTTCTAATTTCGACAAGAACTATCAAAGTTACTACTCGCTCACTGATGCTTGCTTGGCCAACAGAACGTGCGCGCGTGCATTTTTGCTCAGAACTACCTCCACGAGCGAGTGGCGCGAATATTCGCTTGTCGTACTCGCACACTCGCTTCCTGCCAATCGTCTTCTTGTTTCTAGTTCTGTCTCTACTCATCCGCGGTGGGACTTGAAGTGCTTAAAATTATGTAATAGCCAACATCATTATGAAGTTATCCAAATTTATGAAAAGTTTGTATTAGGGATGATGACGGGGTAAAATAAACGAAATTCTATTTAGTCCATTTTGTTAGATGATCAAAAGTAATGGACTCTTACTTTTTCTTTTGTCGATAAACACTTCACTTCTAAGTTAAAATTGTACTAAGACTTGACGTCATGCGATATTTCAAATCAATATAGGTATATCTTTGTGATATTTTGTGTATGTGTAAAAAGAAAAAAAAAAGTGTTCATTACTTTTTGATAATATTGTTAAAAACTAGTTTATTGTTAAAGGTAAAATCAATTGATTAAATAAACACTTCGAGTTATCTACTAAAATATTGTTAAAGCAGATGCATTTGAATTCCCACACAAATTAAAATACAAAACGTAACCTTTTTTAAATGCACAATTACCATTGTTTCATACCATCTTCTTTTTACATTTAAGAAAAAAGTTCCTGTTAATGCAATCATTAACGTAAATAACCTGCGTTAAAGTACAATCGCACTCACGTGGAATCCCCCACCTCCGTTCCCTATGAAATCTTGCGAGACAATCCTGTAATATTTGTTTAGATCTATTGGCTGGTATCGTGGTACATCGCATTCTATGCAACGTACGACTGCACTAAGAACGCGCTCACCGACGGGCCGAGAGCCGTCAAACACCGTTCTTAGCCCTGAAATCCCTTATCATTAAAAGAAGAAGCCTTTTGAAATTAAATAACACACACACACACACCAATCAGCCTAGCCCCGAAGAAAGCACTTTAGAACCTAAATTCGATAAGATTTTTTTATGAGGTACAATCATACGACAGTGGAAAAGCAAAATCGCATTAAAATTACAGAAACGAGGATCAAAGTTTTAATTAAAAAAAAATAATAATAAAAAATCTACATAATATCCGCCTATTAAAAAGTTACATAGTGCCTTTACTTAAGATGAATAGATACAATAGGAGACGAATTAGATGTCGCTTAAGAGCCCTTTTACGAAAATGCGCCGCTGCTGTATTGATCGGAGCGTAGGTAGATTTGCACTAGTATATATTGCATTTTACGGGTGATGTTTCGAGTCTAAAAAAATATTTATTAAAATATACTATAAAAAAAAAACATTTTTCAGTAGTTCAATAATGGTAGATTAGTTTTATGAAAGTTTTTAATAGTAATTCTATTTCATTCAATATCAAAATCCGAGCTAAACCGGCATTATTCTTTGGGAAAACTCACTGAGGTTAGACGTTTTTTTGATAATTAATGGGATAGAAAATCAAAATTCTTATACATTATGTTACAACAAAAACATATTTGTGATGTCGTAGTAATTAATTTGATCTAATGTATTGAACATTATTGAGAGATTGAGGCGTTTGAAGTTGTGCATATTATCGTTTTTTACGTAAACTAGCTGCAGTAGATAGATCAGAACAAAAAAGGGAAAATAGTATTTGCAAATATTCTACATAAACTTACAATAAGAAGAATAAATCTACTGTTTACTATTATTGGAAATAATCAAAATCTTTTCTAAGGGGGTAAACGGGCGTTCAAAAATTACGATTTTTTGCAAAAAATTTGAAATGGCTCTTAAGTGAAAATCACTGGGCCCGTCCTACATTTTTTGTCAAGCAAATATCAAATTATACGCCAAATAGTAGGGCGTAAGCGCCATTGGTTCAAAAACACAAAAAATTATGTCATTTCAGCGTTGTGAACAATAAAAATCTTAAAAAAATTAGTTGCTTAAACTCCAAAAAAGTACTCAAATATTCACGAAATATAAACAGATCGACTCAGAAATAAAAACGAGCGAGCCTTACAGTAGTCGCGTATGATGTGTAATATTTGAAACCTCAACTTATATTAGTAAAAAAAGAAATAAAACCTATTACAAAAGGAATAAGCCATTTGAACATTATGTTCTAAAATCAAATCAAATAGCGCGCGCTTTCGCGACTCACACTTCCGTCCTATTTCACGAAATCACTCCCACAAATTGCACGAAAGCGAGAGGAAAGATGTTACACTTCAAAAAACCGATTCAAATGATATATAACTTATTTTCGACCGAAGTGGCGTGTTTTGTCTTTCCACTGTCGAATTATATTCGCTTCGAGTTGGCCGCTTCCCACCTTCCCCCCTCACTGCACCGTGCTCCTGAACAGACTATTAATTTACCCTATTGGTCGAAGGTACTAATTGATGTGTTGTGATTGGCCTGTGACACGGGACGGTCATCGACGGCCAACTCGAAGCGAACGGGTTGTAAAATCTTTCACATTTATAAACGAGTAGGACAGAACTGAGGTCGCGGCATTTTTCGTTGAATAAGGCTGCTACAAGAGGCAGAGGGATAAGGATTGTGGTGGAATGATGTCATCCACAACTAAAATCTATATTTAACAGTATTTATTATTTAAAATGCGTAAAACTACCTACCCCATGCTGGACTGGGAGTAAAAGAAAAACATAGAATAAGCCAGATACTACTTCTAGAAGTCTAACCAATGTAAAAAAACGATTACAAAGAGTATTAGAGTGACTGTAATGCCTTGATCACACGAACCGAGCAAACGAGCGAGACAGTGCTCTCGGCCGAGGACTCGGTACGTATAAACATAGTGCCGAGTGCTCGGCCGAGCGCTCTTACATGAGCTTTTAACTTCCATCACTGTCTCGGCCAAAAAACATTTTACTGTCTCGCCCGTTTATTCAGTACGTGTGATCGAGGCATTACTCCGTGATCATGGCACTTGCAACAGTGCCGAAATTAAGGAGACTCACAAAAAAACACCGGTACTTCTGGCATGGAAATGGTTCCGTTCACAGAAATCAATACTAGGCATACTATATACTTCCTATATCGCACATTAATAAGAAGAGTGACACTAACCAAAAAAGGTATTTTTTCATTTGATGCATTTAAAGTTTTACCAAACAGTAATTACGACTTTTGCAATCGTGTTTAATGCTCTCTGTAATAGAAATCATAACATGGTCAATCATTTTTTTTCCTAGTAAACTTTTCTTTAGATCATAACATGATATTGATTTTGTATTCTTTCTGGTGCAAAATTCGTAATTACTGTTTGGTAAAACTATAAATGCTTCTACTGAAAAAATAGTTTTTTTGGTTAGAGTCACTCTTCTTATCAATGTGTCATATGTTTTCCTGTTATCTACGAACAAAAAGCTATATTTCATATTTTTCCTTACATTTTTTCACGCAGTAGCTTCGAAGATAAGTGGGGGGGGGGGGGACAAGCGAGACAGGTAATTTTTTTATTTTCTGAAATAATTTTTAAACAATTCATTTAAAATTTGTAATATTTAAAACCTCCACATCGAGCCCTTTCATTTGATATGTAACACGGTACAGTTGGCTGAATTTTAAGTTTTCAATTCAATTATTATCAAAACTTATTAACTTAACTTTAAGTTATATATGTAAGTACCAAATTTCAACTTGATTGGTGCAGTGGAGTCCGAGCCGTGGCTGTGACAGACAGACCACCAAGGGTTCCGTTCTTGCCAAATGAAATACGGAACCCTAGCAATCCCGCTTATTACTATAAGTAATTATAGTGACCACGACAGCTTTAAACAATATAAGAAAGAATATGTTATGAAAGTTTTTACCTCACACTATTAAGGAAAGAATGCGTAACATCTTAAGAATTTCCTCTTCATCATTGTAAAAGGCGTTATTATATATTTGAAAACTGATCGATGGAGTAACATCCATTATGGATACAATATTATGGTAATACAGACGCCAGAGTGCGCATTATACTGAGATCAAGGGATCATTGAGCAATATCAATCCATAGTGCCTTTAAAATTTCACTATGAATCTCTATGAAATTGTGTTGTGGACAAACGATATTACTTTTTGAAGTGAATTTACTCGAGGGGAATTTTGCGGCGAAGGATTCTATTGTTTTTGGTGATACTAAATTTAAAATATAAATTTCAATATGAAAATCTGCTTTGAAATGGGAAAAAATAATACTGCTGCTGTTTTAATTTTTAAATATTAACCTCTTAAGCCTTAAGTCTTTATGACATACGGCCGTCATGATTTCCTGAATAGCCTCCTTGTGTACTTTGTGTTTCCTGCTAATATGACAAGCACGTGCGACTTGAGCAGTATAAATAACAATTATAGAAATTAGTGGCTAGAAACTATTTGCTGTCATAAACTTTATTTCTTGCGAGTCCCCAATAATTTCGACTAGTTTCGAAATTTTGGTGACTTACAAAAGACAAGATACAGTCAGATGCATTTAATTAACTCAACATTAAGTGGGGTGGAGTCATTTGTCGGACCTATCTATAAAAAAAAAAGAAAACAAATGTGATCCATTTTATTGAAATGCGGATTGATCATTCGCGTTAAAACGTCAAGTTAAAATCTTTGAGAATTAACTGACATTACTTAATATATTATAGACCTCTATACGCGTATCATTTCGTGTTTTTTTTAATAATATATAGAAATCATATTGACAATCAAAGAAAATGTAATGAAATTCAGTATCTTTTATGAAATCCTTATCAAAAGTTTCACAAATTAATTTAAACTTTATTCCTCTTATTATATAAGTTATTATTTATAATAATAACAATGGTAACAATTAACATTATCAGAAAGAACAATGGGCAAGTTAAACAGTAAGTTGATTGATTGGGAATTTCCGTAAGTTTCTCGGGTCCGTAAGGTTAGCGCGTAAACTGGAGCTCTATTTTTGAATCACTCGTCTGACATAGTATCGTCGAATGCGACATAAGTCACCTTCGACTTTCAAGTCGCATAATACTGATTTTCCGTAGTTTTGAATCACTCGTCACCAGTGTTTCCTGTTTGATACGAAATACGAAATTTTACTCATTTCACGCAGAAATAATAAAAACTGGTAATTACTACTACTCTTTGTCGTTTCATATAAAGCATGACAGTGATAGATTATCGTCGTCTATTAGCACAAAAAAAATACAATTATTCTATCATTCGCCTCCACCATTCACCATGCAGCGAGTGGTCTCACCCATTCGTTGCACTCGAGCGATTCAAAAATACGGAATTATTATGTCGAATGAAATTTAGTAGAAATCGAGCGTTCGACGCAAGACGAATGATTCAAAAATAGAGCTCCTGAGCAGTTTTGTCTCTACTGACATAATTTATGTAACTTACAATGGAAACGTATTTGGTCATTACATCTGCTCTTATGACTCCTGTTTGCTATCCGATATTTAACCTTAGGTGGATACCAAATTAAAGAACGTGACTCTACATAGTAGTAATACCTCTAATTACAACAAAGTTAGTGACCATTAAATTTTAAAATAACAATTAAACAATCCCATCAAAAAATAATATTCAAGGCGTTACTTTTGGAAGGGTATATTAGTACAATTAAACGAAAGTGATAATTTTAACAAATAATATACCTGTAAGTAAAAGGAGTTGCCACAGAAAACAAATTACCATTTTCATTGAACAGCGTCTATAAAAACACCCAATGCATTTATTATGTTGCTTTTTTATTTCTTATCACCCATAATCATCATTAATATATCATCGTCATAACTTATTCAATTGATCGATATTAGCATAAGGGCTGGTTGTCACTTACTGAGAATCCGTCGCCGCCACTACCGATGAAGCTCTGCGATACGATTCTGTAGTATTTGTCTAGTTGCAACGGTTCGTAACGAGGTACGTCGCATTCGATGCAGCGTACGGCGACGTTGATAACTCTCTCGTTAACGGGACGAGAGCCGTCGAACACGGAACGCAGCCCTGCGAGTGACGGTTGCAAATTCAAAATTACAATTTTGGAATCGACGTCTTTGCTAAGACTTAAGAAGTATTTATGTTTTCTGTGACAACCTTTTTAAAGGTTAATTTTGCAAATGGAATAATCTTTTTGTACATGTGTGTGTTTAGGTTATATTTTTATGCCACGCTTAAGAACTGAGGTTATTTTTTAACCAACTTCAAAAAGTACGAAGTTCTCAATTCGTAATATATTAAAAAAATCGAGTCACCATCTACCGCAATCTATAGTATAATAAAAATACAAACAGTGATATAATATAGTAACAACAACAACATAGTACATGCGCACTGCCGACCCTGTTTACCTTATCCCCCTACCCTATAGAGATATTCAGCTGTCGGTTCTGTTGAAACACAACACATTTAAAGAAAAAGGGCAAAACAAATACAAACTAAAGAGTAACCTTATTGCCTTTTGACATGGGTTCAACACGAATTTAAGAAAAAAATACATTCAAAATGAGTCTGTAAACAAAGTTTGAAATCACGTCTAACTTTTTTGTAGTAAGACCGTTATATGCATTTAAGTTTAATGCAAAATATAACGGTGGTGGTAGTGGTATGATTAATATGATTTACGCATTCCTTACAATTTGATAAGTTAGTATTTCATATTCGTCCATTTTATGTTTCATAAAATATCTTGTCATTTTCACATTCGAAAAAATTATGATAAATGCAAGCTCGCTATTTAAGACTACGAGGGCAAAAGTTTTTTTATTTTCTCTTATCAATCTACTCCTTTAGAAAAGAAATATTTTAAAATTAACCTAAAACTGTCTGAAAACAGTTGATACATTATAATATGTTACCTGATACTTGTAGCATTCTGGCACCGGCGTAAGGTACGTTAGCCACTGAGTATTCCAGCATTTCCATTATGTGATCACCTCTCAAATCAAATGTCTCTACTTTGTTTTCGAATGGTAATGAAACTAGTAGTTCTGCATAGCTTACACCTGTTAAGGGTACTTGACATTAAAAATCGCAGTTAATATCAACAGTCCAAAAAATGAGGATATTTAATAGTAAAATAAATATTACTTATAATAAGTACTATGAAAATTAAATTAAAATTTAAAAATATTACGTCCGGGAGTGATGGCAGCTCGAATCCCACCCTGGTTCATTATACAGAAATGTGCGTAATGCCAATTGTTTCCCTCCGATCTGTTCATAACCTAGAATTAAATAAATAAAATATTTATACATGTTTCTATAAAAAGGTCAACTTAGGCCCAAAGTTCAGTTCAGTCAGGGCTCCAGGCCCCAAGTTCTAAATAAAAAGAATCAAAAGACAATAAATGTTTAATAATATAATTATACATAAATGTGTAGACAAATTAATTACTAGATCAAAATATTATTTTCTGTAATTACAACATTAATAAGTCGTAGACGATTGTAACTAGATCCGTTTCCGTCTTGTCTATACCAAGAAATCCGTGCTGTAAGTTGTGTCCTTTATAATAAATTCATTTTGAGTATAAAAAATATTCCTCTGCATTTTATTTATACAATAAGAAGAAGCGTTCTCACCCTCAAGAGATTTCGTCTAGAAACATTTTTTTTTTAATTATAATATAATTAAGCCCCAACGATTTCCCATCTAACGCTCTTAGGTTTCTTTGGGTAGGAATGAACAAATCGACATGCACCCCGTGTCACTGTCTGTTGTAAGATGGGGAGGGGGTCTTTACAAAATCCCCCAAGGTCCTAAATGCTAATAACTACTCGAGTAGTGAATTGAAACGTCCTTTAATCGCTGCAGCAAACCATTTTATCCACTGTTTGGAAAATGCAGTAGTGGTTTTTATTACACAACAATCAATGATCTTTCAGATGAAATTGTTTTTTTTTGAGGATGTCGATCATAAAAGATACATAAGTACGATGCGTCGTCGCCAATATCTTGCTTCTGTCACTGAGAAGGGCAATCAGGAGGGCTTGCAGCACTAAATTATCGTATAGTCCTACCCTTCCCTTGTTCCCAGGAACAAACGAAACTTGGGAGTGTTATCGTACCAGAAATTGGATTTTTATTTTTTTTTCTCCATGGGGTAGGGAATTGGGTCAGGGCTTGTAATAGCTTTGGTATTACAATCGTCTATAGGCTATGGTCACTTTTTATCATCAGGCAGCACATATCCTTGTTTGTCACCCTTTTAACGTAGAAAAAGAAATAATAGCGCTGCCAGGTTTTATACATTGCTGCTTCTTCATTTTGTGTTCCCATATTAATGACGTAAGTAACCTGGTAGTCTTATCGAACTAGGTTAAGTGTCGTGGGCTCTTGAGACTACAATCAGTCGCCTTTACGCTAGAGGAATTCAAAGTTCTAGAAATATCAAGCCTGCTCACGTGTTCCCCTTCCGTTCCTTCTATAACCCGGGATCTTAAAGGCATGAGAAGCAGCTTTGCAGGCCGACAGGGTAAGGATAGCTGGTGTGGTAGATAAAACTGCCGTACCGGCTAGTGGAGTTATATTTTGTCGGTCCTTGTTACAAACAAAAAACTCACGTATTATATACTTACTGAATGCATGAAAGCATCGCACAAGAAACTTCCAAGGTTGCACTCCTTACACGCACAACTCCTATCCATAAACACTAATGATGTGCCTACTTCGGCATTCGCAGCTTCCTCTATCAACGGAAGATATTCTTGGATCTTTGCAAGCACATCGGGAGCTGAAATTTAACTGATATTAGCTACTCGTACTATCAAGTATACCGCGTCAGTGAAGTTTTCGGTACAACTGAATGACGCTCTGAGATTGTAGAATTTTACCAATTATAGCTACGGCCGATGATCAAAAATTTTCTCGAGCATCTCCGTGGTTCGGCAAGCAGGTTAAGCGTTATAGTACACACATCAACTCGGAAAGGTCGCCTTTTGACGACTAGGCCAGTTCGACGTAGAGACATCTCTCCGTACATTAAGTTACGTTTCTTTCAAAGTCGGCACTTCCTAACCACTTAAAAGGTTACTTTCTCTATGGACAGTATGCTCGGCAAAGCAAGAAGCGGGAGGTGTGTGAACGAAGAGACGTAACCTAGTGTACGGAGAGACGTCTCTCCGTACACTAGCTTACCTTCGTAGTATGCGTTGCATTAGGGAGTTCCGTACAAATAATACTGAACGGCTCAAGTTAATAAGGTGACAATCACTTTCCGACTTTATATGTCTGCTACGATCATATGCCGTTGGAATCGCTGTAGTCGTCAGCACTCACAAATACACACTGTAGCTGAATGGTGGGTCACGGCTCATTCTCCCTGTTCCATCCATAGGATGCCTTTACCCAGCAGTTAGAACATTAATAGGCTGATGATGAAATAGTGTTGTCACTTTCTTCGCGATAGCAACAGATCAATGATATGACTTGAGAGACATTAAATTAAATTAACATCGAGTGTGGCCGTTACAAACAGAGCATTATATTTAAACTAGAGGAGTTTACGACTTTTTGTGCGTAGAATAATCAATTTTCTATATGATATCTTTTATCATCTATTCTCTCCCTTTTAGTTCTCCGCGGTCGCCTTTTTCACCACCAATATTCATCAAAATTGGTTTAGCGGCTTGGCCGTGAAGTTGTTAATTTAAAAAATATAATTATTTAACGCCCTATTGACTTACGAAGAGCATGGAATATTTACAATTAAATATTTTATAACATACCTTGTTCAATTTCACTTCCAATGTAATGGGGATGGCCATACCAATCAAGAAGGTTACCATCATCATCAAAATACAATTTGATCTCACCCAAGTATATAGTATGAGCTGCAGCTTGAACAATTAAAACCTGCAAAATACTTGTCCAATAAAATTAAATGATAGTTTCTCCCAAGTAATTGTAGATTTTGGATATTATTTTTTTTCTATAACAGTTAGTTAGTTACTTGGGAAATTAAATAATAATCTACCAGTTGCGATTTTGAAAACCCATTATGTATTAGGGAAGAGGCTTAAAATTTTCATTCAGATGACGAAATTGCATGATAACCAAAATAATAAAAAATAAAACCTGTCATTCTGTTTAATGTAGGTAAATTTGCATTATTTACAGCTGTTACGATTGGTGAAAACGCCGATAAAACACGTGTCATAGGCGGAGATCTCCATTATTTACAACTTGATTTCTATTATTTTTGCTGTAGTGACAATGGAAATACACATACTCACCGTGAAAGATTCAACTATCTACAGATAGTTTTTAATAATTATAAATTATGAATATTAAACTGTTACATCTCTTATCTATTAGACAAGTCCGTCCGTCCGTCCGTGGTGCTGTTTCAGCGGCCAAACCGTAAGAGATAGATAAAGAGAATGTTTAAGTTATAAGTTGAGAATAGTCTGATAAGACTACAAACCGGATGTGAGTAACGTAGCACTTCCGGTTTTCGAGAAATCACGTGATTTCTATTTCAAACGAAACCACATAAAATCTCCGAAGTTCTCAATTAATTAAATACATTTTTTTTTGGTGAACATTTGGTTCACTGGTTTGCTAGTTTATAATTAATCTAAATAAAACTTTACTAGAAAAAATCTATCATCTCACAGATAGTGTAGTAAATTAACCTAAAACGTGTATTTTCTATTCACAACAGGTGTTGCGGTTCATGAGTGAGATACAGCTCGCTGATAGACGGACGGTTGGGTCACGGAGATTTTATGTTTTAACTTTATATTTTTTTGCTGTTGACAATGAAAATATACGGTTTATGAGATAAAGATTCATAATAAAATTCTATTGTCACTTTTTGGATGTTTAATTGCAATCCTAACAATTGAAAAACTTTATTATCAAAAACTCATAACATAACCGCACGCGTCTACGTCCACGTTATAGTTAAATTTTTGATAACCCCACAGGAACGAAACATTGTCCGAGATAAAAAATATCCTGTGTATCAATCCATATAATAAACTATGTGTGTGCCAAACTTCGTTCGAACCGTTCAGCCGTTTTTTCGTGATTGAGTAATAGCTGGCACTTCACTGGCTGTTCGTGTTTGCTTTTTCATTCCTTTTAAAGCATGATAAGGACAGACTGCTGTCAAGTTTACAAACAGGAAACACGAACAACCAAGTGAAGACTCAGCATAATACAAATAGATAAACTAACAGAATAACTCACTTTCACATATATAATACTAGCTGACTCGGCGAACTTTGTACCGCGCAAAGGTAATAATTTGCAATAAAATAATATTGCGACTATAAATTGAGATGTAAGCTATCCTATCTGTAACTGCACACGGTTTGCAAATTTGATTAAAGTCGGTTAAGTAGTTACGGAGTCCACCCCGGACAAACAACGTGACGCGTTATTTATATAGATATATTAAGAAGATAAATTAGGATTGATGGGAGGATATATTTTTGGCGTTTTTGATTTTACCGGTTTTTCGCCTTGACGCACTACCACAGGATAAGGTCCTCGGGGTTGAAATGCAGATGTTTCGGGTGGCTCCCCGTTAAATAGCAACGTGTGGCTGTGTCCGCCTACAATGATGTCAATGTATGGACCTCCGTGAAGTGCTATCTCTCTAAAATAGGAAATTACGTTGAAAATTTAAACTACTAGTTAAATCACTAAGAGAGGTAGAGCATAGCGGGATTCCCGCTCGAATTGGAGCATCCGTACGGGGAAGTAACCTCCATGTTACAGAAGATCACAGAAAAATAATACTACCTTTTGGTGGTGTACACAAAAAGTCGGTGAGTTAGGTTCCAGGGCTCCACGGGTCAGGGGATGAGTTCAAGGCAGGTACGCAATGGCACGAGTGATATTTTTTTAAGCTATGGTGGCCGCTTACCATCACATGGGCCATAAGCTTGTTTGCCACCCTCTAAAAATAAAAAAATCTCGTGTTTCATGATCAAAAACTCAGTGGGTAGGGCCTATGCTGCCTTTACCATCAGCTATCACCTGATGTTGACCATTCAACATCACTGCCTTATAATGTTGGCAGTTGTCGAAGGTCATATTCTAGTTTTACTAAAAGTCTTGTTTTTATATCATTTAATCAAGTTTGGGAAGAAGTTAGTAGCTAACATAAAATAAATTACGGTAAAATCACTTACGGTGAGTTATAATAATCAAACTCCAGTAAAAGGTAGATATAATCTAGTTCAGTTACTTAGCAACAGATGTTATTAAAGTCATAATAATAAAAATATCTTGCCAACAAAACTCTAGTAGGACTACCTCTTGCTTAAGTTAGATTATTGTAACTGGCTATAAAAGTAAAAAAAAAACCTGTCGATATCCAAACCGCAGTGAGATAAAACAATGATGATTTTGACTCCCTGGTTATTCAATTTTTCCGCTTCAGTTTTAACTGCTTGTATTTCATCGGTGAATCTTAATTTGCCGGTCGAAGCTAATTCCTGTTGGTGATGAATTATTTTTGTTATTCGTTTCTTTATCACCACTTTATTTTTTTTAACAAGTGGTAAGATGGTTTATGTTGATGTTCCAGCACTAACAAGTAAATGAAATCGTATATCTTGGATTTTTTTTAGCAGGGACGGAAGGTACCCTGCTGGCAAAAAAAGAAGAGTGGCTGCAGGAAAAAGAATGGATGAAGCGTTGGGAAACTTTTGTCAGTAAAAATCTAAGCCAGAAGGTGCAGCACGCTATACAAAACGCGGTGCTAGTCCCAACACTAATGTATAGAAGCAAGAGTTGAAACGTATCGCTAGCATCTCGACTGCTTATTTTACGTAAAATTTGAGGAGTGATGCTCGCTGATCACGTACATAATATAGAAATTGGATTAGAAACAAAGTCGGTGTGCAATACAGTATCTGTATTAAAACTGACGGAGGCATTATCCGTGGTTTGGACATGTTGAAAGAATGTCTAATGGGAGAATGTCGAAACAGATATATACGACACGATAGTGGAAGGATGTAGTAGTCGCCAAAGACCAAGACTATTACGATCGAATTTTGAAAGTAGGTGACGTTAACTGCCGTAAAAACGGGCGGATGTGTATGAAAAGAGTAATTAAAGTGAATGGAGTGAAAGATGTGTGTATGGACCGTGTCTTGAGGTCCATTATTCTCTCTGCCTATACCCCAACCCGGACACGGCGTGTAGTATTGTATCTATCCAATATGAATTCCCAAAAAATGGAAGTGCAATTATTTTTCTGATAACGAAATTTAAATAGAACTGCATAGTTCTTCAGAAAATGTACTGATTCATGCAAAAATAAGTAAAATTGTTATCAGATGATTAGTTAACCTTCCGTTTTTTTATCAAGAATCACCAAATCAAAGATATCGAAAAAGATAAAATAAAGCTGTAAATGAGGCAGCTGCTCATATCAGTATTGACTGCAAATACCGTTTTGTGTTTAAAAAGGTTCACATTTAATAAAATGTCTTGATAACTTAAAAAACTACATTACCTACAGGAAATAATTTATTATTGTTACTTACGTTAGTAGAAGCTATGATGACTCCAATAATACCAATTTGTGTGCCATTCCTTTCTACGATGGTACTTGATTTGTACGTCCCTTGAATGGATGGTTCATCGTCATCAATTATATTAGCTGTGACCACAGTGGAATTCAAGGCTTTTATGTAAGGCACTGCTCCTTCGATACCATTGTCAAATTCGTGATTGCCAAGAACCTGTGATTTCAATTAAAGCGAAACTGCTTTATATCTGTTTTTTTTAGGTTATTTGTCAGTTATCTAATCAAGTAGTAGTATGATGACAAAGAAATAGAGATAATTATTAAATAAATAAATATTGCCCCACACCCAAAGTAAGCACTATAAGGCTTGTGTTATGGGATGCTAGGGTAACGTATCAAATACATATACTGGACATATATAAGTATATTTATATAGAAATATATATTAAACGATAGAAATGAGGAACTCGATGGCGCAAGTGGTAAGCGCGTTCGGCTGCGATCGTTGAAGTTCAGCAACTTTCGCCGTAGTCGGTTATTGGATAGGTGACCAAAATATTTACTGTCTCGAGTTCCTCCGTGTTTCGGAAGGCACGTTAAGCCGTTGGTCCCGGCTGCATCTGCAGTCGTTAGCACCCACCACTCCGCACTGGGCCCGCGTGGTGGGTCATGGCCCAATCTCCCTATTCCATCCATTGGGAAGGCCTGTGCCCCAGCAGTGGGGACATTAATAGGCTGATGATGATGATGATATATTAAACATCCATGACTGGAGTACAAATGCTCGTATTCATCACACAAACATTCGGGATTCGAACCCGGGACCTCTTGAGTCGGCAACACCATGAAACCCGGTGCACAAACCACTCGGCTACGGAGATCAACAAAATGATTTCACAATAACATTTTTTTATAATAACACTACTACATCATTCAAGCGTATGTCTATAAAAAGAGAGAATTGTTGTATGAATACTGTGTTTTTTCCGTGTGAATCTGCTTGGCAAAACCCTATCTTACATGAGCGTCATGCGGAAGCATATTCATAAACTCTTGCGTGACGTTCCATCTCAAGATATTGTACCATATGGTCCCTTGGAAACTGTCGCCTCCATTCAAGAGTAAAGAATGTGGTTCTCTCGTCATTGCTTGGCGGACTACAGTGGCTAGGCGGGCAAACCCACCAATGCAGGGGTCCTCACTAGTCCTATCGCAGATCCCACCGGACAAGCTTGTTTCTTCAAACCTGGATATGATAATAATAATAATAAATTTATAATAATAATAAATTTTTATTGACTTGAACAATAATGTGATCTTAAACTAATGACCTGCATCTCCTTTTAAGCTTAAATAGCCTGTGTCAGGAGATACAGCTCTTCCTTAAAATAGATAATTATAACAATCCAATAAAATCTAATATGAACAATATAACAGTGTCAATCTTAGGTAGGAGGAGCTCTATGGCGCAAGTGGTAAGCGCGTTCGGCTGCGATAGTTGAAGTTAAGCACCTTTCGTAGTGGTCGGTCATTGGATGGGTGACCAAAAATTTACTATATCGAGCTCCTCCGTGCTTCGGAAGGCACATTAAGCCGTTGGTCCCGGCTGCATCTGCAGTCGTTAGCACCCACATATCCGCACTGGGCCCGTGTGGTGGGTCATGGCCTAATCTCCCTATTCCATCCATAGGGAAGGCCTCTGCGCTAGCAGTGGGGACATATGGCTGATGATGAATCTTAGATATCATCATAATATACTATTTCTCCACATCAGCGACGAAGCTTGGTATTAAATGCGTTAAAATTAGCGTTCCAAATTTGAATTTAAAGCTATAGCATTAAAATATTGGGCTGCTTGTCTATAGATGCTAGACGAGAGCTTGACTGGCATAGACCCGCAGAACTATTCATTACGATATGCCATAGAACTAAATTCAAAGTTCGAACGCGAATTTTACCGCATTTAAGTACCAAAGCTTCAACGCGCATGTGTGAGGGAAGCATAATAGCTAAAACATTTGTTGCCATGGAAATCGGAAACAATAGAGGTAGGTACCACAAAAATATCCTGTTTCGACTTTCAAATTATAAAAGGAAGTTAGTATTTTTGATGTGAACCGGAGTTGAGTGGGGGATATAAGCAAGAGAAAGCAGTGCGCGCGCACGTTTACTTTCTCTCTTTCTCTTATAGCTAGTAAATGAAATATGTATATGTACATATTTCATTATATATTGTACACACATATACATACAGATGGAGCTAAAGAAGTTTCACTTCAGTCGTGTGGTCATAAGCACACTCGTTTTTTTATATTTTCTTAATTAAGGCCTTTTATTGTTAAAAGAACATGCCACCCCCAAATTACCAATTACCTAGCGGTATCATTGATATTACTTTTGAGGTGCCATAGTGAAAACAACAATATAGAAATACGTCTCTACCCGTTAGAACCTTACTGTGAGTTTTTTAAGGAAAGAATTATAAGATATTTTTTTGAAACTTGAACAAATAAATTGAAAATGCAAGCAAGGGAATTGTGCATTCATGTGTAAGAGGCAGATAGGTGTTTAAATAACCGCTACATTTATAACGTTTCCGTACAGTGGAAAATATTAACTGTTTAATGGAATGATGTTTTGTTCAGACTTATTTCCAATGCCTGCTATGTAGACAGCAAACGCTACGTTATTAACCTTACATTATTATAGTGCGACACTATTTTAGATAAACAACGGATCCTTATAATATGCACCCTGTCGAGCTAAAATTCCACGCGGTTCCTGCAGCCGACGGAATTCGAATCCGTACTTTTTGCTATCCGCTACCGCAACCTTAATCTAATGGCCATGTCGAATTTACTCTAATACTTATTTCTTAGGCTGCAAGGCAGCGCCATCTCTTCGTATTGTAGGTAACCCACAATGTCAAACATAATACGTTTACAAGTTTTAAATGTTTGGAAACTGAAATAGCAATTGATGTTTATTATATTTATTTTAAGCATTTAACTGCTATATTTTGAAATCTAAAGAAAATAGCCCGGATAGCGGAGGGTGAAGATTCGAATCCCGTCTGCTGCCTGGACAGCATGGATTTTCTTAGTAGAAATAAACACTGCACGGCAGCACCATCTCTTCGTATTGTAGGTAACCCACAACTGTAGCTTAAGAAACACTAGAGAGAATTCGACACGGCCATCAGGGCCGCGGTAGCATAACGGTCTGTCCCGTCTGCTGCCTGGTCCGCTTGGAATTTTTTCTAGTATTTTTTTCTTTACATTTAAAACATATAGCAGTTAAATGCTTAAAAAATAAAAATATAACTAAACACTTTTTAGTAAACACCTCTAAAAATATCACTACCACACCACTTACCTAGCGTGAAAGTCATTGTAATGTAGAATATTCAATTCGAATCCATCACCTTCAGATCTCACTATTGCCAAAAGATAAACACAAAAGAACAATTTGAACATATTTTTTATTAAAGAAATATTAAATTACGATTAATCTACAGACACATTTCGAACACGTACACAAAAGTAAAACACATTTTTTTACCGTAAAACGCTGCCGGTATACAATAAATTTGATAAGATAAAACGTATTATACCCCAGATTGATAAAAACAATAAATTCCGAAAGTACCTTTTCAGATCATGATATGAATTATAATTAAGTACCAATATAGATAAAAATGTAGGTACCTATTGAATTGTGTTGCTAATAGCAGTAAATTAAACACACAAAAAAATGATTATTTTATATTTATCCGTATTATATTTGATATGTTTGTTTCACAAAATACAGTTGAGCTGAACAAAATCAAAAACAGTTCCTACGTTTTATAGAGTTACATTTTAAGACACTTAGCAGTGAAAACTAGTAATAACATTCTTTATATTTCCTCGAAGGCAATGTCTTTTCAGATACACAAAAATATACCTATCCGACACGACTTGAAAACGTCCTATTTTTTAAATCAGTTGAACCACTAAGTTTTCCGAGACATTGCTGTTATGGGTAAAATTGAAAATTGATACTGGTAAACGGCCAAATCGAGCAGTTGATAATCCGCTCAATCATTGCAATGCTGAAATGCGGTTCGGCTAATTGTCAATTATAATTAATACAGAACAACGCTGTTCTTTACACAGCTTCATATCTTTATATATGATACTTTAATACCGTTTAAATAACGTCAAGCTTCTTAGTATAATAAAAGGTGGTAACTGTTCTTATAAAAAAAACAATTCCAAATGAAAAAAAATTGACTGGCCCGCCCAATAAAGGAACTGAAAAGACAAAAATAAGTTAAAAACTCGATGTAATCGGGTTAGGCTACCTATTGTTTTGTAATTAAAAAAGATGAAAAGTTTTTTTTGTTTTTGTTGTTCTATACATTTATCCATCAATATTTGAACAAAACATTGATTCGCTCGTGAATAAATTATTGTCTTGTTTGTCAATCTTATTTATTATCAACGTAAATAAAATAAATAAATAAAAGATAATAAAATATATTTGTAATTGAAGCCAAAAACACAAAGTAAGTACTTTACTTACTTTAATTAACAGTCACAACAATAATTGTTGTGTTAAAAATATTTACAAAAAAGACGAAAATACAAAAACAAAACAGCCCGCCATGGAAAATAATTGGCATAATAAATTATGTTTACAATGTTTCAGCTTAGAGATGTTTATTTTCATCTAATTAAAGTATTTTATTACCTCCAACGCAAGACGTTATTAGCTTTTTTGTCTTCAGAACTACCATGGGATCGTTAAAATTTTATAATGCTTGAATATTATTGATAAATCATACTTACTACGAAGGCCGATCCAAAAAAAATCTCCTTGAAGTGTCTATATCTATATATAGGATATATCTATAATAATAGTAGATCCGAACCTACATCGACCTTCATCGAGCTGATAATAGAATGAAACATATTTTATTATGAATTTACTATATTAGAAAATATAGTAAAAATGGGTTGCCTATAAAAAATCTGGCTATTATATACTAAATTCATGATAAACTATGTTTCATTGTATTATCAGCTCGGTGAAGATCGATGTAGGTTCGGATCTTAGACTAAAATATAATATAGTAATAGAACTAATATAATAGGAGAGCTAACCTCTATATCGCTACACTGGACTTCACTACGCTGCTGAGCCTTTTTTTATTTCTGAAAACGGCGTTAAGACGCTCTTAACCATTGGGAGAAACGCGAAAAAGGTATCTGAAAACTCCTCCCCACTCATTTCACCCAGCCCCTAATGCTCGGAGATATAAGTATGGTACCCTACCTAGTAAAAACCAGAAAATACTCCTGCACCGGTCACTAGACATGCACTACGAGGACCAAGGTTCCCTTGTAGTAGTGCCGTGGCCCCCAACAAGAGACTGGCCACGCGCCCACAAGGTATCATGTGTCTATTTTACGCAAGGAATAGCATCAGTCCTGCCATCCCCGCTCCTCCAGAAATCCCAGTGATCCCCGGATGTTGCTGCAGGCTTCTACTAGTGTCCGTGGATTTCCCAGTAGAGAAGTCCTTCGTTTTGCAACGCTTTTACACTCCAGAAGAACATGAGCGCTCGCCTCGTCTTCCTCCAGGCAGACTAACATACTTCATATAACCTGATCTTAAATGTGATTGGGAGTCCAGTACCATAGATAGATAGATAGATTAACACTTTATTATAACACCAAATACATAATTACGTAACATTCACAAACAATAATATTAACAAAAGCGTTAGCTAAGAGCGATTTCTTCCAGACAACCACTGAGTATGAAAAGTTATACAGAGACCATAGGGGTGTTAAATGGCTTGGAATAAATAGTCACATCCATACATACAATCTACATCAAACTAAGTATCCTAATTAGATATATAAATACACACATCAAAAGTGTCTAGGGATCAAGCATTTTTATGCGGATTTCTTGAGATTGAGATGTGGCTTTGTAATAAATTTATGATTTTATAAATTTATATGGATCCTTTTTGGTGCATTTCATAATTTGAATCAGGAACTGTGAATCAAATTCGAGTAAAAGATGAAAATCAGCTGTCAATATTTTCCCTATAAAAACATACAACGCATTGAAGACATTATTAGTGCTACTGTTTCCCTACTACTGATTAAAACCAACGTTATTATGGAGCGGCGACGTCATTTAAGCAGGGAAGAAATGCTCAGAGCCGTGGGAATGATAGAAGCTGGTTCCCGGCAACGTACTGTGGCTTTAGCTCTGAATACAAGTCAGAGTGTTATCAGTCGACTTTGGACACGATACCGAAGCACTGGTACCGTGGCTGAGCGCCATGGAGGACGGTATCGCTGCACCACACGGAGACAAGACCGATACATTCAAATCTTAACTCGAAGAGCTCCAACAATAACCGCCATGATGTTAGCCGTGAGGCTTCATCACTCTTCAGGGAACTTAATTAGCGACCAAACAGTCAGAAACCGCTTGCATGAAGTGAACCTTCATTCCCGAAGACCGCTACGGGTACCACCTATAGCAATGCACAATCGTAGGATTCGATATCAATGGGCTCTTGAACACAGAAATTGGGCAGAAGAACAATGGCGTTTCGTGTGCTTTTCTGATGAGTCTCGTTTTGGTATGAGACCGGATACAAGACGTATACGACACTGGAGAACCCCTGGACGCCAACAGCGATTAAAATCCTGCCAGGAAGTCCATCCTTATAGTGGTGGAACCATCATGGTATGGGCGGGTATTTGGATCGGCGGAAGAACTGAGTTGATTTGGATCAGAGGCAACCTCAACGCTCAAATTTATGCTGAGACGATTGTATCAGACGTCATCGTTCCTCTACAAGTGCAAATCGGTCCCTTATTTCAGTTAATGCATGATAATGCACGACCGCACACCGCAAGAGTTGTAAGACAGACTCTCGCCGCAGCTAACATCAATGTCCTGCCCTGGCCTGCTCAGTCGCCAGACTTGAACCCGATTGAGCATGCATGGGATATGCTACAGAGAAGAGCTCTGCCGAATATGGAGGGTATCCAGTCGCAAGAAGACCTTTTTTTGTTGTTGCAACGAACATGGGCGGCCATTCCACAGCGTGATTTGGATGAACTCATTTTGAGTATGCCAAACCGATGTTCTTGTGTTGTTAGTGTTCGCGGTAGAAATACGGATTATTAATTGTTTAAGTTACCCAATAAAATTTTAGAGAAAACTGTTATTTCAGTCTTTTTTTCGAACTTTTGTGTTAGTGGTTCAAATGTCAAAAATCCCTTTATTAGGAAAATGGCAAATTTCTTTATTAATGCAAAGGTGACTTGGTTTATCGTTACTGTGACAAACGAAAACACTTTATTTGATGAATCCTTAAAGAAAATTTTAATTAATATCAATCAGGAGAAAAGTTATTGCAAAAATATATGTTGATCCCTAGACACTTTTGATGTGTGTATATATACATACATACACATATATACAGGGTGACAGGGAAAGTCGTACTGAATATTGAAGGACGTTATTATTCAGGTCATTTCTGATGGATCTGAAGCAACTTTCGCAGTGGTCGGTCATTGGATGGGTGACCAAAAATTACTATCTCGAGCTCCTCCGTGCTTCGGAAGGCACGTTAAGCCGTTGATCCCGGTCGCAATCTGCAGTCGTTAGCACCCACCAATCCGCACTGGGCCCGCGTGGTGGGTCATGGCCCAATCTCCCTATTCCATCAATAGGGAAGGCCTGTGCCTCAGCAGTGGGGACATTAATAGGCTGGTGATGATGATGATGATGCTTTTCTGGTTTTATTTATGTATTTGCTATTTTTACCTCAAACTAAAAATGTACCCTCTGCTACCATAACTGTTATTTGGTCAATGTTTTGCCAATTTAATAGCACACCTTTTTGAATAGCTAAAGAGACGTAGAAGTTTTTAAAATTATTTGCAAAATAAGTTCCATACATTTTTTTTGAGAAAAGTGCTTCAAAGTTAAGAACACTTGGTGAAAAATCTTTAGTTATAAACGTTGTCGAGCCGTTTTTTTAAGCCGTTAGAACTAGGTTCAGTTTTTATTAATTATTTTTATTGCTTGACATGTCATTTGACTAGATACATTAAAAATCGGACCTTTGGAGCTCTAGTTTCAAAAAAATCGCCAAAAACCCAAAAAATATAGGATTTAATAAAAAAAAAAAGTTAATATCCAATATCACCATAACGGTTAAGTTTCGGACACCATATTATAGGACCAAATCCATCAGAAATGACCTGAATAATAACGTTCTTTAATATTCAGTACGACTTTCCCTGTAACCCTGTATACATATATACATATGCATTACCATAAATAGCTAAAACAGCATAAACGTTTTCCATTTCAGACATCCCCACCTTGTTTGATACATAGGTAAAGGACAATGGGCATTTGGGCAAGACACACCCAGCCCCGGCAACAATGTGTGTTCGAACCTATTTATTTAATTGTTTACATAACAATGTGTATGACAAACTAGCCCTTTTTATTATGACACCGTAAAAAATATCCTGGTAGTCGAAAGATGGGCATATTTAAGTAGCTAAATAAATTTTATAGTACCTTCTTTTTATATTATTAGTAACTATAAAAATAATTTGCCATATCGTACTATACAACCAGATATACGACAAAGCCTGCCGTTCATCCTGCGCTTGCACTTAC